GCATCTATTACCTTTTTTTTTTTTTAAAAAATTTAAAGGTAGTGAAATTGCCATCCTTGGGTCATTTCCACAGGATTGACTATTCGGCAGACTATTATAGACAACATTCAAGCTTCATTAAAATGGTCCAAATAGATTCCCTTATAACCCGGAAATTCTAGGAATTTCCTGAAATATATCAGCACTATGTAATTTCATTGCACTCAAGATGAAAGCATTTCTATTAGATTTGTAGAAGCACAGCATGCTTTTGTCCTTCATGTCCTCAGTTCTACCACCATACTGCAGAAGGGGGGGTTCTTTGGCTCACGTAGACTCTGGTCATGCCTTTGGTAACAGGCAGGATTCCCTTCCTTCTACACAGCATTTAACGACGACTCAGCTCCAAGAGGCCATCCCAGGCACAGGGAAGAAGAAGAAAATGTGGTTCTTAACATAAATGGAATTTGGAGAGATTTTCAAAGCTGTAATTCATGCAAGCCATAATGCGAAAGCATTTATAGTTTCAAATGGTAACTAACCTTTGGGAGCTTATTAAAAATAAATATTGCCTAATGGGGAACGGTAATGTATGTTAGTAAAAATAAAAGGTACCAAAAAGGACTGCAATTAAGTAAATAAAAGATCCTAAAGAAAAAATTATAAAACATTATTAAATAACACCCAAATAGAAATGTGAAAAAACATCACTCTTAGAAAATTGTTCTCCAGAATAGATCATTTCCAATGTACTTCCATAAAATTCCAACCATTTTTATTTCTTTTAGAACTTCCCCAAAAACTGCTTCCAAAATATATTTGTAAATGTACACAAATAGCCTACATGTTCTAAGAAATCATGAGGACTTGTCCGAATACATCGTATGTAAAATCGTTTTATTAATTGATAAATAAAGCTGTAATACATTAGACAGTATGTTATCAGTATAAACCCAAACCCGCTGCCGTCCAGTCAATGCCGATCCACAGTTGCCCTATAGGACAGAGTAGAACTGCCCCACCACAGGGTTTCCAAGGAGCAGCGGTAGACTCAAACTGCCGACCTTTTGGTTAACAACAGTAGCTCTTAACTACTGTGTCACCAGGGCTCTACAGTATAGGAATACACAAACAGACCAAGGAAAAAAACAGCTCAGGAAAAGGTCCACGAATCTATAAGGAAATTTGATTCATGACACAGCAAGCACTGCAGGGCAGTGACAGCATATACATTTCAGTATGTGGGGTACTATCAACTAATGATCTAACTGAAATAATTAACCTACTCCTATGTACTCCATATGCAAACATCAATTGCAAGCAGACTAGTTTTAAACATGAAAATGCACAATTACACTACTTTCAGAAGTTACAAGCAAAAGGTCTTATGACACCAGAATAGAGAAAAAAATTCTCAGGAAGAGTAAGACAAAAAGGAAGAGACAAATTCAACTATATTAAAATTCACAACTATTCTTCAAGGGGCAAGAAAAATGAATGAAAAGGTAAGTTACAAACTAGCAAAAACAATTTAAACTTTACAAAGGAGCTCTAAAAAGTGGGAAAATATGCACAACATTGTTAGTAGTGGAGTAGTGGAGCAGTATACGGTAAATGCAGAATAAAATCAAAGCAAAATACCATTTTATACTCTTTACAAGAGCAAAAATTATTTAGAGAATACCTATGGTTACCAAGCAGATGGAACAAATAAAATACATATGCACACTTTGTGGGGAAAAATCTGTAAAATGCATCAGCATTTCCTAATAAATTGAAACTAGGCTATGATCTGCAACTGAGAAATTTCCTCTCACTGGAAAAGAATTGTGCAACGAGTACTTGGAGCCTGAAAACACAATGAACAAAAGAAGAGCAGCAATATTCACAAGAACAAAATTACTCTTGAACCACTCAAATCCTGTAAGCTCTACAATAAACAGGTAAAATGTGGCCCATTCATATAATGGTAACATCCATACAGAGGAACATGGGTAGACTAAAGCTATACCAGCATGTATGAAACTCAAAACCATCCTGAGGAAAACAAATCACCAAGGAACCCATACAGATTAATAACTGAATTTACAGAAGGCTCAAAAGAGGCAAAACTAAACAGAATAGAGTTTACAGAATAAAACAAGCATGGTAATGCTACGATAATAGCAATAATAATGGTAATAAAAATAAACTTCTAAAATATACACAGTAACAATCTCCAGGCAGGGAGAAGATGAAATCAGGAAGGAACATACTGAGAGGCCATAAAAACTAACCAAGATCTATTTATTATCAGGGATTTAGAGTACTAGTATGTAAACTATACAGGAAAACTTTATGCACTCGTTTATGATACAGTTAACAACGGAAAATATAAAATATTATTTAAAATTCAAAAGAAATATAGTTTTCATATATTAATTTTACAATCATACGAGTGGAGCCCTGGTGGCACAGTGGTTAAGAGCTCGGCTGCCAACCAAAAAGTCAACAGTTAGAATATACCAGCCGCTCCTTGGAAACGCTGTAGTACAGCTGTACTCTGTCCTATACGTTGCTATGAGTTGGAATCAACTTGACGGCAACAGGTTTAGTTGGGTTGGTTTAGGTGAAGAAAGGCTTTAGTATCTAAACTTTTGATACCTGGATCTTAATCTATATTTACCAGAGCAAGTTTGTAAAAGCAAAATATTAGAAAGAAACAATGCAAGTATCCTTTTGTGCTGATCAGATTGAAAACAACAAAACTAATATCAACCATACCCAATATTAGAAAGTTTTATAAGAATTTAGATCTGCTATATACTTTTAGAAGGTCTCTGGGTGGTGCAAATGGTTTGCCTTGGACTACTAACCAAAAGAATGGCTGTATGAACCCACCCAGTGGTGGGTGGTGCCATGGAAGAAAGGCCTGGCAATCTGCTTCCCTCAAAATTAAGGCTAAGAAAAACCTACGGAACTCAGTGCTACTCTGTAACACATGTAGTCATCATGATTTGGAATCAACTCAACTGCTAAAGGTTGCGTTTGTTTGTTATGCATTGTTATTGTTATCAAAGGAGTCCCTGAGTGGCGCAAACGGTTAAGGGCTGAACTATTAACCAAAAGTTGACAGTTCAAACCCCCCTAGAGGCACCTTAGAAGTAAGGCTTGGCAATCTACTTCCCAAAGGCCACAGCCTTGAAAACTCTATGGAATGTAGTTCTACTATGAACACTTGAGGTCACCGTGAGTAGGAAATGACTCCATGGTAACTAACAACAAAAACACTGTTATGAAAAGATCTCCAGGATAACACGTTAACGAAAGAGCAAGTGTAAACTCCATGCTACTTTTCCGTGTAACAAACTAGGAGAAATAAAAAAATTTATATTTCCTTGTTTTTATATAAGCACTGGCAAGATGGTTCACAAAGCAACAAAGCTGGCTATCTAAAGGCAGCTGGTGGAAGAGAAATGGGCTGGGTGAGGACAACGGCAAGAACAAGTCTTCATAAAGCACACCCTGTAAGTTCATGGAGCCCTGGTTGCACAGTGGTTAAGAGCTTGGCTGCTAACCAAAAGGTCGGCAGTTGGAATCCACCAAGCGCTCCTTGGAAACCTTATGGGGCAGTTCTACTCTGTCCTATAGAATCGCTTTGTATCGGAATACAAGCAACAGCAAGGGTTTTTTTTTTTTTTAATAAGTTCATACTGAATTTTGAAATTTGAAGATATTGACTGCAAAAAATAAACTAAATTGTACTTTTAAATATAAGGCAAATAAGATATTTAAACGTTTCTACTAAGAATTCTCATTTGAAATTACAAAATCATTTAAAATTTAGTCATTTGTACCTATTAAATCTTATTTGCGCAAATCATAAACATTTAAGTTAGAGCTCTCTTTCTAGTGACCAAGTGTATGAAAATCTATATGATCAGTTTATCCCAGCCAGGACAATGTTCCTAAAATAGCTAAACTATTTAACACATTAGAAATTCTGGCATGATTTCTTACATGTAATGGAAGTCTTTAAGATTTTTCTCAAGGTTTAAGCTTCAGAGTAACTGTCACATCAATTAACATAGGCAGTGTTTGGGAAGTCAACTGAAAAATTCTCAAGAAAAAACAAACTAATCTTAAATTTTATCCCAATGGAAAATGTAAACCCAAGAACTTAAACACATCCATCCCAAATGCTGAAAGTCTCTAGCTAAAAAAAAAACACTTTTTAATTTTAGATTCTGATTTAGGACTGTGGACAGCAGTTAAAAATTATATAGAGATTTAATACCAACTTTTTAAGCGCAGATACATGGGAGAACAAGGACCTAGATTAGAGAACCATGCTGCTCACACACCTGAAAGCCTCAAGGCAAAAGCACTGCCCACTGGAAAAAAGGATGGTTCTGGAGACCCCACACATGACCCAAATGTTTCACTGTCCCCAGTGTCATTCTTTGGTGACATCATAATAGCACCAAGCCCCACCCAGGACCCCATAAACAAGAATCAGGGTCTTTCCATACTCTTTCTCCATCTTTTTTACTTCCTCACACAGTGTGAGAGATGGAATTATAATTTTAGAACTGCACAGAAAAGGCTGCAGTTCCTGGCGAAGTCAAGAAAACGGTTTGCAGTGATGGGACAAGGATGGCTCTAGAAAGCCTGGGGCTCAGCCTCCTCAGCCAGAGCTGCTCCGTCTTCAGGCTCTGATCAGGAGATTCTGTCACTAACACAGAGTACCAAGGCCCAGAGTGGGGATGGTAATGCTCCATGGTGCCAACTCTGCGAGTCACATTAAAGAAGGTGACCCTAGGCATCCAGGACTTGAAAAACCACGTATGTGAGAGGAAAGGCCCAGTGACAGCAGATCAAGGTCTTAGGATGCCTCTTAGGACCCAGTCCCTTGCCTCCTCTGCCACCTTTTTTACCTCATCTGAGGAACCACAAGGCCCAGAGCACACAGCTGATCCCCCAATTCACATCAGGCCTCACCCCCTTATGATAAAAACATCCCAGTTCTCTGTGGTACTCACCATTTCCTTGCTCCAGCTTTTGAAATTCTAAGTGAAAGTCCTCTCTAAACCCAAAAAGCCACTTTAGTAAAAAGGAGTGGAAGCAGAGCCACTAGGCAGTCTGGAGGCAGATGAATGGTTTGCCTGTCAGTGCAGATAAAATCCTTGTGATTGCAGGGATGTGCAAGATGGTCACTGTAGGTCCCAAGCTGCCTGGACTGGACTAGTTCTCCCTATACCACACCTGGAATCTGAAACGGAAAAAAGATAGGCGAGACACCATTGAGTAAGGAAGAAGTAATAGATTCTTAAACTTCGGCTCTTTCCCTGGGCAGGGCTTCCTCCAAGGCTCAAGGCAATGGTTCACCCCGAGCACTTGCATTTAAGGCAGAACTGGCCCCCATTTTCCAGAGCAAGTACTTGCATCCTCATGCAGCTCTACATCACAGATAGAAGAATTTACTGATTCAAAAGCAAGAGAAGCATCCAGGCCTGGCAAAGCTGGAAAACTTGAACCTCGTTTTCTCCAGGGAGTCGGGGTCCAAGGCTGAAGTTGTGGGTTCACCTATGTAACTTTGCCCCTTGTAGATCAACACACACACTGTTATTTGATATCAACATGGGTGAGACTTCAGAAACATATAAAGTTTGGTCAACGAACTCATCTTGTTTCATGGACCTTTAATTACGTGCAGTTAAAACGCTTGTTATTTATTTATTTTCATCTCGTTTATAGCACTGTGATATGTTACAGTGCAGTGAACTGCTTTAAACATGGCTTTTCTAATCATGGTCTTGTGACTCCCACAAAATGACTAACTAGAACTATATAAATAAGTTGTATAAAACTCTTGCAGGAATTTAACAGGGACTACGCAAATAAAATGCCTATGGCCTACTGTCTCAATCATCTAGTGCTGTTATAACATGAATACCACAAGTGGGTGGCTTTAACAGATTTATTCTCTCACAGTGTAGGAAGCTAGAAGTCCAAATTCAGGGCCCAGTTCTAGAGAAAGGCCGTCTCTCTCTGTCAGCTCTGGGGGAAAGTCCTTGTCTAGTTTCAACATCTATGGGTCTGGTGTTCCTTGAAATCTCCATGTTTATCTTGGCATCAATCCTCCCCTGGGTCTGGGAAGTTCTCAGCCCAGGGACCCCAGGTCCAAAGGATGGGCTCTGCTCCTGGCTCTTTTTTCTTGGTGGTAGTTAGCTCCCTCTCTCTGCTCACTTCTCTCTCCTATTTCTTGTAAGATAAAAGGTGTTGAGTCAAGCAAGGTGATGCATCCCACCCTAATCCTGCCTCATTAACATAATCTATTCCTCATTAACATAACCTAATCATGCCTCATTAACACATAAACCAAAAACCCAACCCACTGCAGTCTAGTCAATGCCAACTCATAGTGACCCTATAGAACAGAGTAGAACTGCCCCATAGTATTTCCAAGGAGCAGATGGTGGATTTGAACTGCCAACCTATGGGTTAACAGCCGAGCTCTTAACCACTATGGCACCAGGGCTCCGCCACTAACACATAGAGATTAGGATTTACAACATATAAAATCGAGGATAACCAAATCACAAAGTGGAGAACCACCACACAATACTGGGAATCATGGCCTAGCCAAGTGGACAAATATTTTGGGGCGATACAATTTAATCTATGATACCTACCCAAGAGGATTGGTCAGTTTTGCCATCCTGCTAGGCTTAAATGAGCCAATCCCACAGAGATTAAGGGGGACCTCACTACCACCAAGAGTTGGGAGTGGAGTGCATCCTTTTGACCCAGGGTCCCTGTGCTGAGACTCTCCTAGAGCCAGGAAAGAGAGAGCTATAACAGGACAGCGAGAGACAGTACGGCCAGAGGAGCAATGACATGAGACAGCAGGATGCTAGAGACCAGCACAGAAGCTATCGTGATTGATGAACTATATCCTGTTAACCTCCAAGTCTATCCTGATCCTGAATTGTAACCTGTTATTTCCCTAATAAACCCTGTAACTGTCAATATGGTCTGTGAGTTCTGTGTGGCCGCTGCTACAAATTATTGAACCCAGCAGAGAAGTAGAGAGTGCTGTGGGAGGGGAAGCTGGTGTGAGAACTGGTAAAAAGCTTGGAAAGTGGAGGTATGTCTGACCTTCACCTCTTAGGAATCAGCTTTGGGCTGATGGTGATTATTCTCATTCTCTTTCCTGAAGTTAGACGATGTCAGATACTACCAGATTACATACGTGATCAGTATTTTTCCTGTAGATTTTGCAATTAACATTTGATTTTTCCCCTCAAGTTTTGCTTTGTTTTCTTGCCATGATGCCAGCAATCCCCAAGCTTTTGAGAAATCTTCCTGAACACTTTCTCTTTCGATCTTACCATAACTGGTCAATACGTCAGAAAATCATTTAAGTTTTCTCTAAGGAGCAGTCTCCTGCCTCTATTCCATTTCTTTTCATCCTGCTTACCCAATTAGCTGACCTCTACTCTTTTATTTCTTAATCTCAGTGTAAATATTCTTTTTCTCTCTCTCGCACAGTATTTGTTTCAGTCTCTGCCTTTAAACATTATCCTTTATTTTATTTTCTCTAATACCACTCTAATTTTAATATAAACTTTTTTTCCCATACTTATTTTTAGCATAAACTGGGAGGTTGTTAGTTATGTAACTCAGACCCCACCCCAGACCTGTCGAATTAAAATCAATATTTTAACAACATTTATACATCCACATTTAAGTTTGAAATCATCTACATCTATATTGTATCATTCCACTGTCTTCCTGAGTCACAACCATCTTCCATATCTAGGCCTCCTTACATTCTTCTTTAACTTGTTCATAACAAGCTCCTGCTTGACTTCACTCATTCATGGCTGTCATTTCCAAAATATATTTACAGTACAGAAACTGGAGTGTTCTGTTTTAAATCATAAACATACATCCAACTCTGTTTAATGTTTATCAGTGACTGTCTTTGGAAAAAGCCCAGCATAGTCAGCAAGGTTCTAAATGACCTGCTGCCATTGCCTCTGGCTCGCTCACACACACACAACACACACACACACACAACACACACACTCTCCACACTGTTTTCTCTGCTTCAATCATCTCTGACTTTCATCAAGAAATGGATGTTACTGAGTTCTCTGCTGCCCCGGAGATTCATTTTTCCCAATTGAAATACTCTTTCCAACCCCACCTATCCCACATTCTAGCAACCCTGCTCAACCATTATACAGCTAAATCCAATTAATTTTATGAATCTTCACTTAATTTTCCCTTCCAAGCACTCTAAGCTAACTCTCAGGTTAAGCCCTTTTACTACAGACTATCAGATATCCTGGTTTTTCATTATTTAATTACAACTGTCTCCCGTGCTAGACTATAAATCTATGAGCAGACACTACTTTGTTTTCCTCTTCCTCTGGCCTATGAGACTGATCATGGAGGACACACACAGAATAATCACACACAAAAATTATCACGTGTTGTATATACTCTTGAGCAGCACTATCCAATAAAACTTTCTGTGAAGACAGACATTTTCTTCTTCTGCACAGTCCAACACGGCAACCCTAGCCCCATGTGGCTATTCAGCTCTTAACATATGACTACTATAACTGAAAAGCTGAATTTTTTCTTTTAGTTTTAATTAATTTTAACTGAAATAGCCACATCTGGCTAGTGGACATCACAGCTCTAGTGGACTCACCAGAACCCTAAAAGACCACACATCATAGAGGATTGAAAGCTGCCAATAGCACAATACAGAGCTTCAGAGCTTTTCGTTTGCTGGAAGAGCTAATAAGAACTCAATTTGAGTGCATTTACATGACTGAGGTTAATATCAACCTAAATTAGATTTACCTCATTCTGAAAACTGAAATGATACTTAAACATAGAAGTGACAGAGAGTAACTAAGGAGACAGGAGGAGCAATCTCTGAGGAGGTGATATATGAGTGAAACCTGAATTATGGGATCCCGGGGGGGGGGGGGCGGGGAACTTTCCTCTCATCAGAGGAAATACCTGGTGCAAAAGCCAAAAGCAGAAAAAATCTTGACATCATTGAAACAGTTTTAAAATGTGTCAAAAGCTTATCTAACATAGGAGTGTTGTAAATTTAAGTCAGAAAGCTATACATAAACCTGCTCAAGAGCACCTTGCTAGCTAACATAAAATACATGGGTTTTATTCTATATGTGATCGATAGCTTACTTGGTTTACAATTCTGAAATATGCCACTTGCAGCTGAGTATAGAATACACCTTCTTGTGACAAGACAAAAAGTAGGAGAAAGTTCAGAGACTATTTTCATAATGTAGAGCTATCAGAGTAGATTTGACTAAGATTACAGCCATGAAGATGATGGTTATATATTTTGGTTATAAACCAACGGGGCTTGGTGTTTTCTTAAAGGTGGAAGATGAGACAGAAAAAGAAGACAGAGGTGGACTGAGCATATCTCCTAATCTAGCGAACAGATGCTGGTGCCATTTACTGATATGAGAAAGCTAGGTGAGATTTGCTGGGATGAAATTTTGAGAGCTCTGTTTTAGACATGTTAGCTTTCAGAGCCATACAATCCTTACTGCCCAAGGTGGAGTATGGGAATGTTTGGTGTCTAAGTCCATTGGTACCCAAGTGCCCATAACTCAACCTATAGGTTGCCTCCTTGTCACAAAGAATCAAATTGTTACCTCTAAAACAGGCTTCACTCCCACTCCTGAAGCTTCAAGTTAGAGGAAAGGAAGAGCACAGCCCTGGCATATATGAGGCCTTTAGGAAAAGTAGGTTGATACTGTGTTATCTGAGAGGCAACTCTTAGATTCTGAACTAGGAAAACTCAGTAGTTTTGAACGAAGATTTGAATTCAACAAGAAGTAACTAAACTACCAGTCAAGTCTCCAAGGGGAACTCTAGTCAAAAAAAGGAATGCTTCCAAAATAGCTCTCTCTACTGAAGGAAAGGGAAATATAAAACGCACTGCATTTTTCTATAGATGTTGAGATTACAAGTGGTGTTTCATAGTAATTTTCCTCCACGTATTTTTGAATTTTTTTAAACATGCAACATTTTCACAATTTTAAAATATAAGAACATTTATTTTCTCTCCACACACTAGTTTTCAACAATGGATTCTTAGATATGATACTAAAAGCATCAGCAACAAAACAGATAAACTGGACTTCATCAAATTAAAAATTTTGTGCATCAAAGGACTTTATCAACGAAGTGAAAAGACAACCTATAGAATAGGAGAAAATATTTAGCAATCATACATCTGATAAGTGTTTAATATCCAGGATATATAAAAAAACTCCTACCATTCAATAACATAAAAACAAATCATTTTAAAAATGAGCAAAAATCTTAAATAGATGTTGCACCAAAGATATACACATAGCCAATAAAAACCAAAAACCAAACCCACTGCCATCGAGTCGATTCCAACTCATAGTGACCCTACAGGACAGAGCAGAACTACCCCATTCTGCTTTATGGAAGCAGAATGCCACATCTTTCTCCCTCGGAGTGGTTGGTGGGTTCAAACCGCCAACCTTTCTTTCAGTTAGCAGCCAAGTGCTTTAGACAAACAGCCAATACGCACATGAAAAGATGTTCAATGTCATTACTCATTAGAGAAATGCAAATCAAAACCACAATGAGATACCACTTCACTTCCACTAGGATGGATACCATCAGAAATACAAAAAGCAAGAGTTAGGGAGAATGTGGAGAAATTGTTGGTAGGTTTGTAAAACAGTACAGCTTCCGTGGAAAACAATTTGGTGAGTCTTCAAAAAGTTAAATATACAATTACCGCATGACCCGGAAATTTCCATTCCTAGGTATATACCCAAAAGGCTTGAAAGCAGGGATACAAACAGGTACCTTAATACCAACGTTCACTGCAACACTACTCATAATAGCGAAAAAGAGAAAACAACGCAAATGTCCATCAACAGATGCAAGGATCAACAAAATGTAGTATATCCATCCCAAACCAAAACCAAACCAGTTGCCAGTCAATTCCAATTCACAGAGACCCTACAGGACAAGTAAAACTGCCCCATAGGGTTTCCAAGGCTGTAATCTTTAAGGAAGCAGACTGACACATCTTTTTCCCCGCAGACTGGCTGGTGGGTTCAAACCACTGACCTATGGTCAGTATGCGAGTGCTTAACCACTGTGCCACAAGGGCTCCTATCCAGTCATAAAGACAAATGAAGTTCTCATAAATGCTAATACACAGATGAACCTTGAAAACACCACGCTAACCAAGAATGGAAACACAATGAGAAGAATGTACCCAGTGTCACTGAACAATTTATGCAGAAATTGTTGAATGGGAACCTATTTTGCTGTGTAAACTTTCACCAAAGATACAATAGTAAAAAAAAACAGTATGCAAACGAAAGAAGTTAGACACAAAAGAACAAATATTGTACAATTCCACTTAGATGAAACATCTAAAATAGGCATTTACATAGCAACCAAAGTTTATTATTGATTACCAGGATCGGATAAGGGGGAAAGGGGTAATTAACGCATAAGAGGCATCGAGTTTCTGCTAAGGGTGATGGAAAAACTTGGAAACTGATAGTGGTGATGGCTGCACAACATGGTGAAAGCAATTGATGTCACTGAATTGTACATGTAAAGCATAACTGACAAAGGAAAAGATTTTGTTATATACGTATTTTACCACACACACAAAAAGATAGCATGAAACGACACTGTTAAAAAAAAAAGAAGAAACTACCACAGCTACCAAGGCCTCCAACGGACTGAGTTCAGTACAGCTAGATGCTGCCCGGCTACCACCACTGACTACTCTGACCAGGATCACAACAGAGGGTTCTGGACAGAGCTGGAGAAGGATGTAGAACA